CCATTTATTTGTCCCTTCTCCCCGTTGTGTATTTTAACCCTTGTTCCGATCTCGTTTAACCATGTCTTTTGTTCTTCAGTCTCCCCGTTTGAGCCTTTATTATGTGATTTTGATTAAGGACTTATCTTTTGTTACCTAATTTTCCATTGCATGTTGCCGGACTATTTACAGTAAGGTCGTGTTTGACCAAGCTCAAGGTCACGGCGTGGTTCAGTGTGTGACAGTTAACCTTCTGACCGTCTGCTTGTGAGGATCACTGGAATCCCTACAGATGGATGTTTGATCCCATCTTGTTGGGAATATTTGTATTGATTCTCAGGTATCGAACCCTTTGGCATTAATTGTCTCTTTCATTGTTTAGCGCGCTACTTTGCGTTAGAAAAACTTCTGACTGTATAGCACAGGCTGTACCGTTTGATGTATTTTGTTTTTTTGATGTAACTTGTTCTGTTTTCTAAATTAGAACCGTTTATATTGAGCACAGAGTTTGTATTTTGATATAATCTAATACGAGTATCTCAAAAACGCGTTGTGAGCAATACAGAGGAACGTGGTCTGGTCTAATCAAATAAATTTTGGGTTCGTCAGTTCGTTGTTCCAATCGAATATTGGTTGTTCGGTTGCTACAACACATGTGGCTTTTCTATTTGATTATTATTAATATACACAGAAAACACTTGTACTGGTCATACTTTAAGCAGCTAACAGGTGTTCTAATGTGACTTGTTAGGGCACTTCGGCATACTAATTTGTCCTTTTATTGTTATTTCTCCGCATGTCTGAGCAACTTTCAATCATCGAGCATCGTATACAAGTGAGTTTTGCAAACAAAAACGCCGTCTTCATACGCATTCAAACTTCCGCCTTGCTGAATGATAGACAACACACTTAACCAATAAACCACAACGGCCTACATTGGAAATGACTATAGTATTTTCTTACATTGATTAATTATTCATAATACCTATGACTGATAAGGTTTACGCACTTGTAAGATGCAGATCAACTCGTTACATAGATGACTTGGGGAAACGTGGCTTCAATATATCACGCATACCTACATCAAGCCATCAAATGATGGCTGACACAGATGTATTCGATCCTCATACTCATTATAATCTTCCTTTCCTCCTCAACCGTATATTCTAGTTTTCCGGGTTGGGGAGTACTCTTATGTGCCCGCGGTTACGTACGGGGTTATAAAAGAGCGGTCGTCATTGACTCAAGGTCACATATTTTATCGTGTTTGATGAAGAGTCCAAATTCACACATTTACATGCATGTATTCTAAAGGAGTATTTTTTTGTTATCATATATTTTTATGCGCAGAATGTCTACACTATATCTATTTCCTCCCACATTACCAATCCATTCTGGAAGCCAAACACTTGCGTGGAACTGAACAATTATCAATTATATTTGTGTATTTTCTATTTGTACCTCAGTATATTTATGCAGTCAGTGGAGCCGTTCTTCAGGTTTGATCTGTTTTCATCATTGCCTTTGAAGTAGATTCTTCTTCACTTTTTTACTTGAGGGCGACTCAAGAAGCAGGTGAATAAACACCTGATAGCTGGACAGAGCATGGGAAAATCGTACCTCACCAACATGGTGTTGGGTAGCCCGATCACGGCACTTCCTTACATATTCCTGTTTCATTTTCTCACTCTTTTTTCTTACAAGCACATGCTACAAAATAAGATCACAAGCTAGTAAATGAAGAGACATCCATGGACTACCGTCGATTGCTGGCGGAGTCAGTCGTCATTCATTGAGCGAGTTGATAATTCTCCCTCGGGCCGCGGAAATAGAACTTGGGTGTTTTTGATGGGTAGGATATTTTTGATGCGTAATCGAACTAACGTTCCTACAGAAGTCGATTCTAGGGGGAAGCTCGTGTAACAGCCTAGGTTGATTGGTTAAGAGTTGACGTCTAACAGCTAAGTATGTGTCAAAACAATGGAGTTCAATTGTTCTGTCACTTCCTCATTTTGCATAGGCGTCATATTTCCTGTTACCTTATATTCAATGTTGAAAAGCTTTGTTTATCTGGACAGGCAATCCCACGCTCCACTGTGACTGTGCGAAGATCTAAATAAAGACTTATTCACTATCGGTCTGGTTTCTTCTATCGACAACACGAGGGTTATCTACAGGCACGAAATACTCAGTGAATAAATCTAAAAGTTTTCAGTTTCCAACAAATACTGTTATTATAGTCCAGTAAACAGGTTTCTGGCAAGTAAATTGCTCTGCACTAACTGTCGAGGTTTGCAGTTTTTTGTGAAATAATAAGTGTCTTATCTCATTCCCTATTCACTAGTTCTCTCCCGCAGTAAACCTTAACTACTCCCAATTTTTTAATTTTGGGAAGACACTCAGACAACAGCGACGAAACTATCAGAATAGCTTAGTTAGATGTGCAGTTTAAAATGCATACTTGTGCGGTGTTTGGTATATTGAGTATTTATTCTTTTTGTTTCAGACTAACCGATTATTGTGCCTTGGTATACTTTGTGGGCGGTTGTTTATCGCTGATAACAGAAAAGTACAGGGGTTAGAGTTCCTGGTCACTCAACCGTAAGATTATTGTTATAAATTCTACCAACTTGCTGACGTTGCCGGTTACTTATTTCTTCAAAGTATTTCCTTAAAGTAGTAGATTAAGCGTAGTGATGTCTTGACGTACCTGTTGCGCCAACCAACACTAAAGAAGAAAATCTTCTCATGAGTGCTTAGTGGAGCTTAAGCCAATCCTCGAACATTTTCTAACTCAAAGAAACGAGCTATAAGATTAATTTTTACTTCCTTCTGGGGCGTTTTAGACGTCAATCTTTCTCTTGGTTTGATGTCACAGAATCCTTTATACATCATTTGTCAAACAGATAGCTCTCCTGATGGATTGGCCAGTGGAATATGAGTGAGCTGTGTTGTAGAGTTCAGAACATTGAATAACCGTAAAGATGGACTAATAGCTCATTACAAGTAACTGACATGGTTGTAGCAGTTCATCACCAAACATTAACAGGAAAGCTGTTTATTGTAAGTAAATAGTAAAATGAGGGAATTATAAATATTACCACTATCAGTATGGGATGTTACGAAGTCAACAATAATCCAAGTATAAATCGAATAATGCTCGACAGACTGGTTAACAAACAAGACAAATATCTCGAAAGTTATGATGAATGTCCAGAGATGCTTGAAATAAAGCTGTGAGGTGTGTTTGGGGCCTACGTTCAAGAACGTAGGAAGATGGGGCTACCATTATTCTTTACAAGTTAATTCCAAGTGTCTTAGACCCACGGATCGTTCTTCTTTACCTTTGCAATTGATCGTTTGCGAACAAGTTATAAGTGGTATGTAATTAGACTTAGTTTATTAGTAGAACGTAATATCAGTCCGTTAGTATAAAGTTGCTAGGAGTTATAGACACGGTGACATTGTGGAATTATGGTCTACTATGATATTAGTACTGCTCTGATGATAAAATTAATCCTAAAATTGTAGCTTTGTCGTGACAAAACTGCCTAATCTGTGGGATCTTATGTGGATGTCCCATCATTGTCCATACCAACTCATCGCATCGTAACAATTACCGATATATGATGGAGAACAAACTTAGGCTAGAGACAGAACAATATATATTCAATGTGAATAAAAGATTATGTTACAACACTTAAGAATGACCACGCCTGCAAGGCCGAGCCATGCCGTTCGATAGGTTCGAATTCACCCTATTCATTTTTCCCGCCTTCTCCATCGTTGGGTTTTTCCCCGCATTAAATATAGAACATCTATTTTACCAGTTGTCTCGTGTTCAGCTTTGGTGATTGTGAGGTTAGGGCCCGATGCCACTACAACATTTCCGCTCTATACTCCAATATTATATAGGTTAAAATTATGACGCCTACTGATGGCGGAGTGAGGTTTTATTCTTGGGTGCAAGTATGTTTTTGAGTGTGCCTCACTAAACACTTTTCAGTAGAGCGATATGAATGTTTGAGTTGGTAGACATGATGAATGAGTTGACATATATTAGTTAACCAATAGTCGTAGTCCATTGGGGTTAACTAGAAATGTATAACTACCTTGAAACAAAGACTGAAACTGTTGCTAGGGAAAAACAACCTATCAAAACATTTTTTCGAAAAGTAGAATTTCTGAAGTAAATAATCCCAAAGCCAATCTGGACACAAAACGAGGCTGCTTAAAATGATTTCGAATCTTTAACACAACTGACATAAGCTTGTCTAAACAACAGCCGGAACTACATGTTCTTATGAGATCGAATGATTGCCATAACAGAAACGTGACCACCATAATCGGTACGTGATAGTTAAGTGAAGTTGAAAACCTTCTGATAGTATGGGTCGGGAGAAAAGCAGACTGTTGGGGAAGAACGCTTATCATAAAATCAGTAGCCTATTTCAGTGTTCTTAGGGAATATTACACTTGTTTCTAAGCCAATTCGAAGAACTATTTAAGTTTGTGGCCTACTGGGATTGAAGATGCCACAGATATTTGTAATTTGACAGCACTTTCATCAATAACACTTTCTATAATTAAATCGTGACCACCCAGTGAAATCATAAGTCAGAAGCGAAGAGGTTCGAAGATATATTTGATAGGTTATCAATATATCGAGAAGTGACTGATCCAACCTGGCTAGCAGTTGCCGGAGAAGTTGAACACGACGTTCCCACTCGTGATCTAGTGCTGATCCATGACCGAGCGCCTTCAGTTAGGTCAGTCCATTTAAACTAATGTTGTCAGCATCAAATGTCGAACGCTTCCAGAGCTATTGATTTCGGGGATCTATTTACCGCTACAGGATAATACTGAGTAAGAACTATAAGGACTCATGATGCAATTTCTAACACTCTTTCCTGGTTAAAACAACCGGATTTTGAACTTTTGAAGAACTTCTGCCATAATGATGGCTAAGAATCAGCTTATTATAAAGTCGAGTGAGTATTCACTATGACAGTGTTTAAGAGCTTCCGGTTAGTTCAACCGGCGGAATCAAATGGCAGCTGATGGATGGCCTTGACACCTGATTTTTTCATTTGTCTGTGGTGATTCCCAACTATGACATCTAATAATATGTACAGAGTTGGGGGTATGTTGATTAGTATTTTATTGACACACTTTATTCCTCCTGTTCGTTAATGACTTGTCTACACTCACTTGTCTTAGAAGTATGCTGTCCTATAGTTCTAGGATTGTAGATGGAAGGAAACTTTCTGGTTCGTAAACATATTTTGTTTAGTTGTTAATTCGTGTAAAGCTCCATCTTACGTCCATGTATTTAGAGGGATGTAGTTCGAAGCCTTGATAGCAGGCGCTAAGTTGCTCAAAATGGAAATTTCACCCTTACCATTTCTAAGTTAATTGCCTTATGCTTAATATCTCATCTAAGCCCAATTAGTATGGATATCAGTGACCAGTGTTCTTATCAGCGGTTTCGGATGTTAAATTAAGTATAAATATATTAGCTTCCCAATTTTGTATCCGCTGATAATGTTTTTACTTGAAATTTTGTGAGGGGTTGTATTATAAACTCAATTGTACAGACTACTAATTAACAACCTCAACTTAAAGTCTGATTGTCCCTTCTACACTCGATTTGGTTTCTGTGATTATTTTTAAACTTGGAGTGTTTTGAACCCACTAATATGTTTGGACACATATTTGATAGAGGTTTACAACCATGTCTTATCAACTTGAGGTTCGAAAGTTACAGTTCTTGAATCAAAACTATTTCAAATATAACTAAATCAGCGGTTTTGTTCGACTCAGTCTCTAGAGTCCATGTAAAAACCTCCACGAGGTAGTATCATTGACCCTCTCACTTCAAGTGTGGCCCATACGTGTGTGAAAAATGAGTTAATTAAAGTTTAAACACCCCTCACTTTTTAATCAGTAGTATTGAAACCCTTAGAAATTCGGTTTTTTGAAATCCCTTGTCACCTGACCATAGGGTAGAGGTAGTTAAGTTCAGTTTTCAGTAATTATTATTATTATTATAAGAAGCTTTATTCAACATTATACTTTTGGTACAACATAGAATTCTCAGCGTAAAGTATTTCAACAAGTTTCTTTTTCTTATATCTTGATCGATTGTGACGATAAGTTTCGAATGATGACCAGTTAGATGTTAGGAATTCGGTAATCCACATTCGATTAATGTTCATTCGTTTCATTGCATATTGCCAGCCACCATGATGTCGCTGATTGTACCTTTCTGTATCCCGTATAGCGAAAGGTTGTAAAGTTTTCATAAACGCGCACGAATAGATTGTGAGCACAATAGACATATTGATGTGCTAAAACAAACAACAAAACAGATAACTTGAAGAAATATATAGATCGAAGGAACAGGTAGCCCAGATATTCAAGCAGGCCGCCGGATAGGATAGGTCTATCGACCTATATTAATCCTTGCAGTTTGTAATACTGTGGAGGTCCAATCTCGTTTTGAATATATCAACAGGTGCTGATACTACGTGTTCCGGTAGAGAATTCCAATAATCCACTACTCGGTGCGAGAAACGAAACTCCAGACGTAAACGATTTGATCTCGGCTTTTGAACTTCCTTCGAACTTCCTATCAAATGATCAGTCCTGGACGGAAGTAAAAGATAAGACATGTTAATACCAAGGTCATCGTTCAGTATACGATAAGCCAATATTAGATCGCCCCGTACTCTACGGTAAGATAACGGAAATAAGTTAACTTGTGCCAGATAGACCTTTGACCATCTTAGTACCTCGTTGTTAGGCTCTTTCCAGCATCTCTGCTTCATACTTTAAACAAGGACACGCTGCTTGAATCCCGTATTCTAAATGTGGTCACACATAAATCGAGTATAGTAATCTAAACATTTCATCATCTAAATACTGGAAAGACCTACGAATTGACCATAATACCCTATAGCCTTTTGCAGCAGCAGCCTTACAGTGACTAGTGGTTTTGAGATCATTGCTTAATATGACTCCTAAATCCTTATAGTTTCTTTCTTTGGGTAGCACGAATCCACGTAGTGTATAGTCATACGATTCATCAGAGTTATTTAACTGCATCACCACACTTATTAGGATTTACTTCTAGTAACCATCTGTCCAACCATGCCATCAATGATCTAAGATCATTCTGTAATACTATTCTATCCGACATACTGTGTATGGGTCTCCAAATTCTTATGTCATCAGCGAACATATGATTTTGCTACAGTTGGCAATTCATTTACATAAAGTAAAAAGAGAAGAGGGCCGAGAATTGTGCCTTGGGGAACTCCACTTTTTACAGGTACCCACGGTGAGAAATCCTTATCAACCCTTACCCTTTGTTTCCTGTCATGGAGAAGGTTACTTATCCAATCTACGACTGTATAGTGGATTCCAAAACGTTCCAGCTTGAATTTAAGACCAGAGTGGGAGACTTTATGGAAGGCCTTACTTAGATCTATGAAGATCACATCCACAGGAATATTCTGGTCTTTTGCAGCAGCCTAGTTAATTTTTTTTGAATGCGTCATACCTTGTAATTTGGTCATTAATTAAGTTTTTGTAATGTGTTCTTTGGCGTCCTGAAACTTGTTTTTACGATGGCTTTTAAATCTAATCATTTACATAGTAATGTGACAATAATGCATCTTGACTTTGAGTTTAGCTGTGTGAATTAGCTGTGATGTTTTACCCCAGCAACGTTATTGCTACCCAGAAACCAGTATCAATTTTTCTGGGTTTCTGTAAATGAGGAAGATCATTTAAGACCATAGTTTTGGGTACAGCAAAGTGATTTTTACTAAGGCTTGCATTTTGTCATGATTTATGTGGGATTAGACGGATTGATGTTTTCATATTTATTTGAACACGAACATTGGTACAGGGAGACACTAAATATGTATGCACCACACTTCATTCGATTTGTGTGAGGGCTGAACTACTGCCTAGGAGCCCATACCGAAGCAGGTGGTTTTCCTACGAAGCCACTCTAGCCTTTGACCTGAGGGTTTAATCCACAAGACAGTGGATCAATGTTAGGAGATTCAGTCCCATGGTAGTCGGTGACCCATAGGTCCATATGCTATTTGTTACTTCAGGATACCGGAGCTTATGTGAACCATTGGTTTGGAATCAGGGTTTTCCAACTCCTCTGGATGGATCCTCCCCATCCATCAGCCTTGTTAAAGCTCTCGACTTCCGCTTTTCGTCCTCTCAATTCCGTAAACAACACCCCTGCCTCGAGAAGGCAGTGAGTAGAAATTTCTCGTCAGCGGTTGTTAATGCATGGCCATATGGAAGCATTTCGAGGGGAGAAGCGTAAGTCCCCACCTTGGCATTTTAGGGCCTAAGGACTGTACGTAGATACGAAGTTGATAATGAAGTCCTGGGTGCGTTTTCTATTTCAGACTCATCAGGTTAGCATGCTGGTATGAATGTTTTTTTAGTACTCGTCATACCAGCTTTGGATGTAAAAATGTCCATTTTGGAATTGAACGTGAATTTGTAGAGTAAGACTGACTTCCATGTACATACAGCGGACGATTACTAAATAGAATGAAATACGTTCTGGATTCAATACAGGTCACCACTGCTTTTATACTATTACCCAGGTTTCACTATTATGTCTGATAGTGTGATCTTTAGGCATAATGGATAAGGCTGTGAAGATGTTTTGACGTAATGTTTGGTGTATGATTTGCATTCCGGGTAAACATTCACGACGTTGGTCGTACTACTTTGAACATATCAGCACCCATGCACTTCATATTCACCATTGTAATGATTCATGTTTTGGTTTTATCTTTGCGTCGTTTCGAGGTTTCTCAATTTCCGATTTAATCATGTCCTAGAATACTCGGTCTAAAACGCTAGCTGCTTTTTAATGGACACGTGACCTACTTGCTCACTTCATAGAGCGGTTACATGTCAATTACTGTCGCTAATTGTCATGAAAAACCGATGGGTCTTCCTTTGATTACTATTTTGTAACGAAAGTATTATCTATTTTTCAGTTTTGATGTTTTTCCGTCTCGTTTCTACGGTAAAAAGTTGATTTTAATTCTCGCCGGATAAATATGAAAAACCATTACTTTTGTTTTCAGATTTTGTCTACTTCGAAGTTGCTGCGGCATCACCATATCACATCAGGAAAATCGAAGAATTGAATAAGGTTTGTTTTTTATTTGGAATCGAATAAGTTAGACTCCCACTGGCGCAGTAGAGGCCAAAGTAGTATGTTTCTATAGGCGACGAGACTTATCACCGAACTTGATACAGCTGGCCGACAAACATCAAAGTAAGTTGTAGTCTAATGTGACATACTATCACAGAAGAGTTAGGAACTTGCGGTGATGATACGCAACCGGATATACTGCACCAGGTAATGGTCTTTTTCTTTTACTTATTCAGAAGATACGTCATCGTGAATTGTTCCTTTCCCGACATCTGGAAACACTTCCAGCAACACATATTCGTGGAAAATGCATAGTTACTCTACATACCGAAACGGAACCTTATCATATCTACCTGACGAAAGACGACACTTTTTTCTTTCAGTTAGTGTATGATCCGTTGCAAAAAACTCTCCAAGCTGACCAAGGATCTATTCGGGAAGGTCCTCAATATCAAGCAGAGATTGAGCCTTACCATCCTCTCCTAGAATGTAAGTCTTCGTTATGATATCTTCAATGTTCTTGTTAACTAATAAACCCTTCCTTAACAAGGCGAAATTCGTTTGGAATATCTGACGAATTCCTACTAATGCGTTAGTGACAAGCCTAACAACTGAAATAAGTTCTCAATATTACAGTTTGATTAGGGTAGATAGTGGATTGTAAAAATAACTAATTTTATACTGTAGCTCTTACTTAGTGTGATATTTTTTATTTATTGTCTTATTTTTATATTAATTTTAGATTCTACCGACGAATCTACACATGAGCAGCTGCTGTGGCGACCAAACAACAATTTAACTCCTTCAGATCTAGACTCATATCTCCTCTTAATTAGATCTCTTGCTACATTGGGCAGATCTTTTTATCCACCACATATTCTCCGTCAGCCAAACCTTACAATGTCTGCAGCTGCAGCGGCCAGAGATACCACACACCAGTTTGCTTTAGATACTTTACATTCTGCTAATTATAATATCTCGCAAGCACTTCAAATGTTAGCTCCTCATGGACAACCGATCTTAAAGTTGGATGAAATGGAGCAGTGGTCAGCAAGCGAAGGCAATCTTTTTGAAGAAGCGTTAGAAAAATATGGGAAGTGTTTTTATGAAATACAAAATGACTTCCTTCCTTGGAAGTACCCAAAAGTAATGTGGTTGATGTTTCATACTAATATTATATTTCATTAGTCACCTCTTTTCTTCGTATACTATAATGACCAGACGTATCATTCGTTTTTCCATATATCTGATATAGAATCAAGCTCAAGTATCTGGAAGCTTTGTTTTCAGTATTTTACTTTTTACTGACATTGTCACTAAAAAGATATACACCTGCCTAGCGTGTGCTAACAGCTTGTATTTTGCTTTTTTGGGTTTCGATCCATCCTGATATAGTTTACTCTTGTTAATTCAGTATCGTCCAAATAAAAATACACCGGTAATTTTTACAATTTTTTTTCCGAATAGTTGGATTATTACCATACTTGTTAGTTTTGCATACTGGTAAACTTTCTTAAACGAAATCAACCAATAAAACAGAAATCAAGGTCGACTGAATTGCTGAAATCTTACGTTTTACTTCAAACTATGTAAGTCGATCTTAGAATAAGTTAGAAATAGTGCATCTGTACCCTACATTTCTGTAGGTTCGATATTTATTTCAAACATTGAACTAACTTTATAACTCCAGTCTTCAGTTTGCGGTTATCCTTCAAACTACATATTTCCAAATGTTTATCTGTAGTTGTGTTTTTGTGTAACGTATTTAGTTTGTATTATTGATTTTTTATACTTTTAGAGCCTTGTAGAATTCTACTACATGTGGAAAACTACAGATCATTATGTTCAGCAAAAACGTATGAAGGCTATTGAAGCAGAACATCATCTAAAGCAAGTATACATTCCAAATTACAACAAGCCGAACCCGGCTGTTCTTTATCCAGTTACAACTGATTCTAGTAGCTCAGCATCTGGATGCGAGGGTTGTCCTAATCTTACATCAACTCTGTGGTATGCTCTTGGTCCATCTCATTCTCCTTTAAAAGTTTGCGTTGATTGTTGGAATTACTGGAAGCGATATGGAGACTTAAAATCCACATCACTTTTGGGTGAGATTCATTAGCTTATTCCAGCGCTTTTTACTACATGCATTATTTGAGTTCATTTATTTTGTGACACTAGCACAGGTGTTTTTTGATCCATGTTACAACAAGAAGAAAGTAAATAAGTAGTGGTAAAACAAATTAAGAAAGGTATTGATACTTGGAGTTGTGGTACACTAAAAATAAGGAAATTAGTCGAAAAAGCTCATTTCACGGGAAATATGAATTACAGAATGTTACTGTGTTTAAGACTTGGGGAAAATAAGGAATAATTTCATTTGTGATGATGGTACTTTTTATGCTATATTACTGGAATTCTACTTGTATGGTAGTGTATACAGCTCGTAAAAATTTTGTTTATCATTTAACTCCTATTTTTCAGTGGAGTAGCTTCTAGTATTGAAGAAGCTACAGGTTTATTTTAGGTTTTCTGCTCTTGTCGCATTTTTATATCATTGAGATACTTAGATTATGGTTCAAAACCAGGTACACGAATCGGTATCTAGTCGATTAGTCAGTAAATAAAGTTCCCGAGACCACCTTTTGTTCTTAATAGTGTGATGGTTGTTTATAGATTTTTTATATCGTTATCACGAGTAATGTGAGATCTGGCACACATACACGTTGACTCAAGTTACCAAACTTTATTACAGATGAAGGAAATTGATCCTTCTTGGGACAACATTTCTGAAAGTCGTTTCTTCGACTCTAGTATCTGGTTATAATATAGCGACCAGAATAATGAATTTAGTTATTAGTTAAAAATATGTGTCTGAAGTATCAGTTTGTCAAACAATACTCCTAAATATAGATATTTATTCGATAATGTTGAAGTTTGACCACTACGTTGTTTAGCCAGTGAAATACAGTATGATTAATCAAATATTCATTAATTACCTGTCTTATTATATTGACGATCTACGTTTGTTGTATTTGTTTTCCAGATAAAGTTTCCGAACCAATTTCTTCCAATCCAACATGCGCTTCCAGCTCAGATTCCAAAACCATGAGTGTCTCGAAAACTAATATTTCCATTACTGAACTCCAAGCTCGTAAACACTCACCCACTGTTTCGACTGACCACTCTACAAAGTCGAACGACTTAGGAGTTAATAATTCGAATGCATATATGCTAGCATCTAAAGTTCGTACCAGCGTCAGCTTTCATTTTGTCGCTAGTGTCACTCTTCGAATCGCTCGTCGGCTGTGTGTGACTTCAAGTCCTCGACGCCGAGCTCGTCAACCATTCAAACGCCTCACATTTTTATCTGGTTTCCACAAAGACACTCTCCCGTTGTTAACTAAACTTACTCCGGCTGAATCTCATAAACTTACAAAGCGATTTCGAAATATATCTGCGGTAAGCAAATGCAAATCCCGTGGAGTTGCCTTACATTCTTTGGTCTCACGATTGCATAAAACAAAATGTAGTTCATCCAATGGAGTAGAAACAGTTTTGGCTGGCGAACCCTTATCTATGATTATAGAAAAGTAAGGAGAATGCATGTTAGGTTTGCTTTCATTCTGGGTATTTACATTGCAGTTGTGAATATTCCCTTTCAATTTTCATTATTTTCCCTTTTATTTTTGTTCTAGTGTATATCAGAGTTTTGTTTTTCCGAATACATTGTGGCAAACTCTGTAGTTTTGGTTCACTGGTCTTCAGAATTTGTTTTTATTTTTGTGGTGGCATTATCGACGTTTTAATTCGAAATCGTTTACTTAGCTATGTTGTATTTGTTCACACTTCTCCACTGCCTTGTAGTTCAGACCTTTAGGATTCGGGTGTGGCCCCTAAGAAAACTACTCGCTTCGGTATGGGCACCCAGGCAGTATCCCAGCCCTTACACAAATCGAATGATTTATGTGGCGCGTATCTATTTGGTGCCTCTTTGTATCAATGCTTAAATAAATAAATAAAATAAAATGTTCACAATAATTAGAGATTTTGTAGCAATAAACATGGCTTATCTGACTCAGTAGTTTATGAATGATCAGATCAATCCGGTTAAACTGAAGCTACAATTAAGTGATTCAACATGTGAATAAACTGTCATTATGTTAAATTGATTCCTTTCTGATCATATTCATCTTAAGTGTATTTAATGGTAAGGTGTGCATATATGCTTACTTTGCATCTATATAAAGAGCTTGATTGTTTATGCTCTCACGAACAATTTAATTTCCCGACTAGCGGTTGTGTAGTTTGGACAGTTCAGCCCCCAAATGCCCTGGTACGGCCGAGGGTGGGAAAAGTTAGCTCTCCCTCTCGAAATGCTCTCACATGGCCACGCGTATACAGCCACTGCCAGGGAAGTCCTACTCACTGCCTTCTCGCGGCGGGGGTGTTGTTTACGAAAATGAGAGGACGAAAAGCGAATGTCCGGCGCTTTAACCGGGTTTGTGGATATGGAGGATCCATCTAGGAGAGTTGGAAAACCCTGATTCCAAAACATTGGTGCATATGGGCTCTGATATTCTGAAGTAACAAATGGAACGTGAACCAATTGTTGGTCACCGGTTACCATGTGACTGCATCTCCTGACGTTCCTCCACTCTCTTGTGGATTAAACTTTTAGATCAAAGGCTGGAGTGACCTCCTAAGAAAACCACCTGCCCCGATCTGGGCACCAGGGCAGTATCACAACCCACACACAAATCAAGTGATTCGTGTGGCGCATTTGTATTCGGTGCCCTTTTGTACCAATAAAATCATATCGATACTTTCAAAATCGTTTCACTTGGTTTGAGTAATTTAGTAGTCGAGTTATTCTTCAAGCATTTTGTATCTCACGCTAGCAAATAGACTTGTATCCAATTATTTGGTTATATATCAAACTTTGCGATAGATGTATCCGAAAGACGTTTGCAGAACTTGGTGTTCTGTGAATCGGATGATAGGATTAGCCTTCAATATGTTGGTAAAGTATGAGAGTTTGTTCTGAGTTGTCAAAAATAGAACGCGCGTATCTATAATCCGTAGTTCAGACAGTCATTAGATATAGTGTTACAGATTTCGAAATTGATTGGTTTAATAATTACGTATATGCATATAAATATTACTGTATATTAAAGTCTTATGAGGATCTAATCGAAAACAATATTGTTCGCTTATATATGTTGTTCTAGAGTTCGAAATGTTTACACTAGTGGTTGTGGGATCTGCTATCGACTTCTTATTTTTACCATTAATCATACTCCTTAATTAAATGTTTTACGACAGCCCGTTATTGTAGATGATTACCTTTTAGAGATGTATCATAAAGAGTATTAGATTTATAATGTTTCCCTTTAGAAGGTGGGGGAGGGGGACGACAGCGTTTTTCTTTATGTTCATTTGCATATGTTCTGAAAGGTTGTCATAGATTTTTATCCTCATGTGTGTTACTTCGTGCGAAGAATCCCTATTACGGACGAATCGTGAAAAAGTAAGATGTCAGTTTTGGTCTGTTGCTGTTGTCACTATTTTTGATTAAGGTGTCGATGCATTCTTTATGAGACAGGTATTTATGCGGATAAAATTTATTTACTTCCCTTCAAATATTCAGTTCATATATTGGCGATTTATTATACTCTTTTCTACAATATTCTCTTTAATTAGTCTGAGAGACAACTTTGGCGACATAGTTCACCTAAACCTTTATGTTTATCAAGTGAAGTCAACTCGAACTGCGTGGTTTACTGATATCTGAGAAAGAATCATCTACTAATTACTGAAGTAAAATTTTCTCTTTCAATTAGTCAAAATGGTGTACAGCTATTTCTAAAATCCACAAAGCCTTTCTAGTTTCACCTTTGGATATAAGTAGAAAATCAGGATTCTAGTTTGTCAGTGCATATCGCTGTCTAAATAAGCATTTATAATTTATGATATAATATTCCAACTGCTGTCGATAGTTATGAACAGAAACATCACAAACTTGTGTACAAAGATAACTACCTGATGTAGTCAAGTTGAATTTACTTTGCTCTCCTTCACTACATCTTATCTACTCTAACTGTGTGATAAAATATGGGAAGAACTAGGTGGATGTTTAATGAAAATTACTAAGAGGAAAACCGTAGTAGGACTGTGGATTTATGTTTTAAAAAACATTGAGTATAATTGTGTCAACTTGAAAAATATCTTATTTTACTCCAGACAAAATATGGGGAAATTGCAAAGATTGTTAGCGTTTTAGACTTATGAAGATTAAGTCTTGACTGATATTCGAACCTTTATTATTCAATGCTGAAATGGCTTTAATTTTTACTTTAATTTTTTAAAGGCTTACAAACTACATTCTATTTTATCTTCTCATTGAAATATAGTTCATACTTCATATTATGTTCTTTACAGCCTCGTTCTAGATGTATCTTAAGGGTCAAGACCTCATTCTGTAATCAAATAGTTTGTGGGGCTCTTATTTTTAGTCAGGACCTACATGTTTTCCACGTTTATTTTATGATGGAGCATTTTCTTTTTATTCTCACTTATTGCTCTGTTTATATATTTCATTGTGTGATTTAAGGTGCAACTCAACAGGTATTCCTAACCTCAATACCAATGGTATTATAAGTTCTTGACTTTATTCGACTGATAGTTTTTGTCTTAAAATCATAGTAATTAATCATAAAATTTTATTTAGAAATTCGTTTGGTATAATTTTTTAAAAAAATAATGTGATCTGGTTTAATCGTTAAAAATAGATCTTTGAGTTAATGTTTACTTTGATGGATACCACATAACTCATTTTGCATCTGAAGGTGGATAATTATTCTTAGTGATGGGAGACCTAGGGAGCACATGAAACCTACCATGTTCGTCAGTCTCGGTTTTGTTTGAGAGAGTATGTCAACTAACGACATTATCATCAATGAAGGTTGGGAGACAATTAGTTTATGTAATGTTTCAGTGTTTAATTCTTATACGATAACTTCAGTTCATCACTGTTTAGGGCAGTTACTATCAGTATTACCATTTTCGAGTTATGATATAACAGTAAATCCGGAAATATTTCCTAAAATATTTTTACAACCAGCGTGATCGAAATCTAATCTGTTATCTGTCCACCTATCCATTATTTGATAAAGATACATATTTTCGTTGTATAAATTGCAAGTGATAAACTAACTATTGTTGTTTTTTTTAACGTTGTGGATTATCTACCGAAACGATCACATAATGAGAACAAGTAAATTGTACTATAAATATGATGTCGTTCCGCACTATTGTTTAGCTGTACTTATATCATTAACTTACAGGTGTCATTTTATTCAAATTGACGATAAATTCTTTATGTACTTCCGATATCAGAAGTTTAAAGTTATTTTGTCATTATCTCTAAAACTATGTTCACACTGAGGAAATTTACTACAAATCATAGTTTCTATAAGAAAAACCCAGGCTTCGTTAAACGGGTTCTAGTAATAAGGTACTCGTTGATAAGAGGGGTCTTCATTTTAGCTCATATTCTGTTGACGTAGCGGAAAGATTTCGTTATTGCGAAATGTTTCACAATAGTCCCTAATTTACCAGTGCACCTAGATTATAAAAGAATTTGTTAAGTATTCCCCCCCCCATAAATTCTTATACAGTTTTACACTTATAAATGCTAAACAATGATCAGGTTTAAGACAATCAAGTGCTTTATAATTATAATATATTTTGACCTTTGTAAAATGTCACAATAGTTATGTGTTTATAACTGTAGAGCTGTATGATGTAGTTATTGAAAACAATTGTTCGCTCGAATCTTATTTGTTTTTGAATAATATATATATTGAGAATTACTTCCCAGGTAAATCAAACATCCTGGAACTTGTTAGTATTGGTTATTTATAGATGAAATAGATGTCAGAACGGACACATATAGGTGAACAATACTGTTTTCATTTGGACTTTCATCAGGCGTTGCCTCAATACAGTAATATTTCTATGCATATGTGAAAACGTTAGTGGGAAATCTAGATTTTCAAAATGGTTGTTATTTCAAGATTTCCGCTCGTTAGGAAATATCGTTCTCAAGAATTTTGTTTAGACCAGCACTATCTAAGATATCCTCTGTAAAATGTTTTGATTGGTTGCCTGATTTCTTAGTTATTTCGGAACATTATTGTTAGATTCACCAAACAACTTGTAAAATCAATATTGCTAGGATTAATTTTTTTAGTTTTTATTCTTTTCACTTCTAATTTTCCTTTGGTTCTCTGAATATTTCTTTTTATGTGTAAAATTAAGCCCAAAATATGCCCCTTCAGATACTGCTCTCGACTTAGCTGTGAACGGTTTGGTCACTACATGTGATTCCGGAAGTCTCAAGGATCCTGGTTCGATGCCTAACAGTGATGAGCATTCAGGTGATTTTATTTGTTTAATCTTTTTTCTTGAAAATTCATTGTCTTTCTTCGCAGTAAGTTGTTTTTTTGAAATATATAATATATATCATCATAGTTTCCCTCTCTTTTTACTCTTGCCATTGTTACCTTCCTCACATTAAACTAGTTTCATGTGGACAATTTTACGTTGAATTTGTTTTATGAATTCATTGAACTTATTGGCAACATTTTGACATAAGTATTGGTTCGCTAAATAGTTACATTAAAACCTACAGAATACTTTTATTGACTCGAATTTTTATTTATTCTTTATGCGAAATATTGGATTTGTGAGCTCTATGCTATGCGTTCAAAATGTGTGCGTCATCTAATAGTGTTGTACTTGCTCTTACAAATGTGTAAATCTATTGTTTAGTCAAATAAATAATAACAATAGATTTATACCTTTGTAAGAGCAAAACAACACTATTAGATGACGCAAACATCTTGAAAGCATAGCATAGAGCTCTCAAATCCTGCTTCGGTCTGGGCATCCAGGCAGTATCACAGCCATCACATAAATCAGTGATACCTGCTAATGGCCTCGTTATTGTGTGTTGCTTGTGTATTTGGTGTCCCCTTGTACTCAACCGTTGTTGCTACCTTGACGTGGTGGTCGGGCTTGCTTATCATGATGAACCAATCGAGCTATACTGGCTGGAATAATCGTTCCTCAATGTCCTACCATACCAGACATGTCGGTTGAAGAGTAATAAGACTATAAGCAGCAAACCCAAGATTCAAGGGCGAAGTCGTACTGCTGACTGTACAGAGGTGTTACGGCAGTAAGGCGTTTCCTTCAGACAACCAGCATAACAGCGATACTGCCTTCCCACAAGGAGGGGTGTGTTTAGAAAAGGTTGACCGTAAGAATCCACATAGCGCCTTATCCCATGGATATCCGTCTCCGACGGTAAGGTCTCAACAAGTACGGAGATAACACGAAAATTACTCACAAAAAGGTCGCGTGTGACTGACCTCAAGCAGTTGTCTCTTGGGTAGTGTGGTCACGCTCTCAGGTCATTAAGACCACCTTTAATCGAATTTCCTTTTTAGGCACCTCCAGAAGAATTCTTCCACAGTGTGGTCAGCTGGGAAGTGACAACCGCCCTCATACCTCTAATAGCACTCAAGATCACTGTATTCATAGTCAACTTCCCTCTTCAATTCGTATTATCCCTCATACATCGACTTAATTCTAAACTTCCTCTCTTGGCTTCCTCAAGTGTCACCATAGCCAACGATTCTAGTGCGCAAAATACTGTCCCAGGTCTACTAAAACCTCGCTTCAAACTACACGTTGGAGCCTTCAACGTACGCATTCTATGTCAAATCAGCCAACAGGCCTCCTTGGCTAAAACCCTAGAATCTCGTACCATTGATGTATGCTGTGTCTCTGAAACACGCATACAGGATCCCAGTGTGGTCATTCACTTGACCTCACCTCGGCAAAACGGAGAGCCAACGAGATACACCCTCGGTGTATCTGGTGACTCGATGGCCAGCTCTCGTGGACTGGCAGGAGTAGGGATAGCACTAAGCATGAGGGCGGAACAAGCACTGTTAGAGTGGATCCCCGTTAACAGTCGTTTATGTGCTGTTCGGCTAAACGGCTCCGTAAGAACTCGGAAGGATAGGGACACACGTCGTTGCCTTTTTGTCGTTTCTGCCTACGCTCCCACCGACTGCAGCTCAGATGAAGTGAAAGATGAATTTTACAGAAAGCTATCTGAACTTCTTCAGAAAGCTAAACGCTCAGACATAGTACTCGTAGCAGGTGACTTTAATGCCCAGATAGGTAGTTTAAACCAAACAGAAAGGCATTTAGGTGGGTATTTTAGTATTCCGGCACAACGAACAGATAATGGTGATCGTCTGCTGCAACTGTGCTCAGACAATCGTTTATTTTTAGCAAACACAAATTTTAAGCATAAGGAGAGACATCGTCTAACATGGCGACCCCCTACACCAAACCAACGATGGACTCAAATAGACCATATTGCCATCAGTCATCGTTGGAGAGGGTCGGTAGAAGATTGTCGCTCATTCTGGAGTACCTGCTTGGACTCCGACCACGCCCTAATACGGGCACGCATCTGCTTGCGCCTCACTGGACGCAAAAAAGCCACACCAAAAAGACCCATTAGAACTGAATTGAGTAACGAGAAAACCAAAAGTAGGTTCCAGGAACAACTGAGGTCACACTTAGGTAGTTCTGAAAACGAGGTTGACCCAGATGTTGCTTGGAAAGATATACAAACAGCTGTGGAAACAGCAGTGACATCTATCAGTGATTTAAACCACAGGGTTACAAAGAACCAGTGGATTTCTTCAAGGTCTATTGCACTGATGGATTCTCGTAAACTCATCCCATCAGGTTCTGAACACAATGAAGAGAGACAACAAATCAGATCTAGGTTAAGAAAAAGTCTAAGGAACGACCGTGAGCAGTGGTGTACAACCAAAACAAACGAGATGGAAAAGGCAGCGGCTATAGGGAACACAAGACAGCTCTTCAAACTCATAAAAGAAACGAATTAATAAGTGAAGTGTGAGACTATTTCGGAAAAAGACGACACCCTCATCTGCTCTCAGTCTAGACGTTTAGAACGATGGGCGGAACATTTTAGAGAACAGTTCAGCTGGTCTTCAGCTACTTTACAACTACCCACCATTACCAGACAGTGTGAATGGAACATTGAAGTAGGTCCCCCAACTCTAGCAGAAGTTCAAAAGGCTATAGTTAATCTGAAGCGAGGAAGGGCAGCTGGTCCAGATGGATTGGCTCCAGAGGTCTTTAAGGATGGTGGTCCAATTTTAGCGATTAGGTCGACTAATAATTTAGCTAAGATCTGGGAGTTAGACGTTATCCCATCTGACTGGTCACAATCACTGATCGTCCCAATATATAAGAGAGGGTAAAATCATCCTGTGACAACCATAGAGGAATTAGTTTAACTAATATAATATCTAAAATACTAGCCTCGATAATTATCAAACGCCTAACTAAGACTCGTAAACTTCAAACACGAGAAAATCAAGCTGGCTTCAGACCTGGTCGTGGCTGCATCGACCATATATTCACCATTCGTCAGGTTCTAAAACATAGGCATACTTATCGGCGTCCGACAATTGTGGTCTTTCTTGACTTGAAAGCAGCATATGACTCTGTAGACCGCGAGATTCTGTGGCAGTGTCTGCCATTGAAAGGCGTACCCCAGAAGTACATAAACCTTGTGAAGGCTCTTTACTCGAACACTACTAGTCGAGTCGGAGCTTATGGCGAACTGTCATCTGCTTTTGCAACTTCAAGTGGTGTCCGTCAAGGTTGTCCACTATCTCAATTTTTGTTTAACTTCATCATAGACCTGCTGGTAGAAAAAACGCTCTCGTTGTCTCTGACTGACTGCCTCCTTGTATCAATCTTTATGTGTTCAAATAAATAAATATTTATTTGATTTCCTGTTCAGTAATTTACGCTGAAATACTTTCAGATTTACATTGTTCATTCGTGATGGTAAAGAGTTGTTACTACTTTACTCTACCAGTGTATTAGGAAACTATGTAGGTTTTAATGCCAATTATATGCTTCACACAGTGATGAGTTTTCTTGAAGTAGCAAATCTAAATTGTCACAGCACATAGTACTGAATGTTTCCAAAGTTTTATTTGTATAGTTTAAGGAGAATGAAATTAGATATTTTATTCAATGGCCGTAATTGATTAACCGATTTAGGTCTTCATTCTAAATTTGATTTTATATAGAAAGCATCAAACAATTTTCTGCTAGTTCGATTGTCATCTCATCTACTAAGCTTTGAACAACAAGATATTGTTTTATGTACTGCTTGGTAATTTTTAGTGTAGTTCATAAAATTGGTAGTAACTTTTAACAGACGACATGTTAAAACCATTACTTCCTATGTAATTCTGCTCAATTGCTTTCAGTGAAACATTAATTGTTCATGCATAATTAATTTAACGGTGTCTAGATATTTTTTTGATAGTGAAAAGTTTTCTTACATGTAGTAACATGATTTGACGACACAATCACTTTCATAGATTACGTGATTTGTATAGATTAACCAAAGTCTATGTAAAATCTTCAATAAGCAAACTTACTTACGTCTGTTACTCCTAATGGAGCATAGGCCGCCGACCAGCATTCTCCAACCCACTCTGTCCTGCTCTTCCTTCTTTTCTAGTTCGATCCAATTGTTGTTCATTCTGCTCATGTCTATCTCCATTTCTCGGCGTAATGTGTTCTTTGGTCTTCCTCTCCTCCTTCGGTCTTGAGGATTCCTTCTGGGGGCTTGCCTTATGATGCAATTGGGTGCTTTCCTCAATGTGTGTCCTATCCACTTCCAGTGCTTCTTCCCGATTTCTTCCTCCGCTGAAATCTGGTTTGTTCTCTCCCACAGTTAGTTGTTGCTAGTAGTTTCCGGCCGACGGATCCAAAGTATGTTGCGTAGACAACTGTTAATAAACACCTGTATTTTCTGGATGATGGCTTTTGTAGTTCTCCAGGTATCTGCCCCATACAGTAGAACTGTCTTGACATTTGTATTGAAAATCCTGACCTTGGTGTTGGTTGACAGTAGTTTTGAGTTCCAGATGTCTTTCAGTCAGTCAGTCAGTAACAACGTAGAACTTCGTACGTACGTACATCAGTTCGGGTTGCCATACGACATTAGCACAGAGATGTAGTTGTCCATTCAAATCCCGTAGTGGTAGAGGTAGTAAGAGTATAAGCAGTAATCGGGAAGATTAGGGTTTGGAGATGTTATTTAAAGAGTATAATCTAGCGAAATAGATTTGGGAAGAGAAAAAAAGAGACAAGGAGGAATCAGGAGATCGAAATTTGGGAGAACACAAAGAGTGTATGCACCTGCGCCACTGCAAACGATTTTGAGCCATGTCATTCAGGGTCTCTAACCATCGGTTGCTATCATCTCGCGGTCCCCAACCAGGTAGTCTACACC